TAATCCAAGTTCACAGCTGTTTGTTAYTATTATAAGACATTTCTGTCATTGTGGTGCTCTGAACATGTTTTTATTTTTGAGGGTGAAAGAATAAAGTTATGGTTATTTGATGAATWAACGCGCCACAGCATTGACACTCTCTAATGAAACCTTTTAGAACGGCAACATCTCTGCCTCCATGATTTATGTAATTAACCGGTTAATGTAAAGAAACTGCTATCAGTGCATCTCTAATATAAATGGAGTGAGGTCTGCTCTATCGGTTCGTGTGGTCCCTGTGTGCATTTTCAGGACCGAACCACTGAAGTTTTCACTGAAACTGCAGGACTGTTGGGTCATTTAAACAGCCGGGGTGGTCTTGCTCAAACCTGTCTGCACAAGAGGCCAGACGCTTCTGCCGACCGGGACAAGAGCTGTCCAAATCTGGAGAAGGTCAGATAAAAATAAAGAGTTGCTTAACTTCCCTATCCTGACCCRGAGCAGAGCAGGTTAAATATAAAACCCGGTGGTTTCTCGTGTCTCGCCCCCGCAGCGTCACACTCCTCTGATCCCACAGACCTCAGGAGGGAGGAGGCTACAGGCGAGGGTGAAGCTGAAGAAACACAGCAGTGTATCGCTGCACACAAACGACTCCGATAGCGTTTAGTGCCAGTGTGGTGAAATGACTCGCTGTACTTCTGCAACATTTTCCTTAAAGTGAATCCTGCCAGAAAAAAAAATAAAAACTTGACTCTTTGTCACAACATTTCCCTTTGTGCTCTCTCCTTTGAGTCTTTTTGTTTTGGTACCATGGCAGTGTCCTCGCTGGACTTCCTTTTGGAGYCACCGAGGGGCCACAACGAGTCCTCCTGAGGCCCAAATCTCTGTGAGCTCCCAGCAGTCCACGGGAGCGTTAGACCTCCTGCTTTGCTTTTTTTTATCCGTCTTGTCAGTACTTATTAATCCCGAAGAGCCTCACGCCGTGCAGCTGGGGCAGTTTGGGGATGAGTACGGTGAGCAGAGAAACCGTGTTGACCACAAAATGGACTCTGTCATATTTGGTGTAGAAGCTGGTTAAAATATACCTGAAGCAAAAAGGAGAAGAAGAYAAACAGGTTCCAGGTGAGAGGATAAATTTGTCCATCAATGCTAACTGTTAGCTTTCAGCAGTTATTGCCTGCTGCTGTCTGCGGTATCACCAAATTATCTCATGAACCACAGAAATGATAATGAAACTAATTACCTTATAGAGCAGGGCTATTCAACTAGCAGCCCGCGGGCCACATCAGGCCCGCTGGTGACCAAAATCTGGCCCGTTTTCTACTTTAATTCCTATAAGTTCTTAAAGTCAACCCAGTTCAACATGGCCGCCCACAGCTACCGTATTTATTCAAGTATAATACGTAAAATTAAATCCATAAAATCATTCATAAAGTTGGGGGTAGTACTATA